ATAATTTTATGTATTATAGCTTCATCATCTGTTCTTGATGTGAAAGTGAAACCTTTTGTCTTGGGCCTACATAAAATGAACTGTACAAAATTAGAAAATTATTACGATACTGATCCAATGGAAGCCATAGCAAATACTTTTTCTGTTACAAATGACTACATTTTGTGTCTAGACATAAACTCAGGTATTATTATGCTTTATACTTTGAGGTTACTTATACTCTTGTACTTGTAGACTTGATTGCATTTCTGCTGAATCAAAAGAGATATATTGGTATTATTTCATCTGATGACACTATGGCTTCTGATATCAATCATCTGTACTATATTTCTCTTTCTGTGGACTGTATTTCTGGCTCTTGTTTGTTCTTCTCTTTGTTTGTTAGTACAATCAATCATCACATTATCATCAATAAAAAAACTGTATCACGTGGTCAATGAATAATCAATTATAATAATCACATATCAATGCATGTATAACATTTCCCACACTCCCCACAGTTGACCATAGTTCATTGGTCAACTCTCTCATGTTATACAAATAAGTAATAATAAATCTCACAATAATAAACATAGTTAGAGAATGATACAATACACAATAATGAGTAAATACATTATTAGCATAACATACTTAATTGTCATCAAGAAATTGTAATCGACAAGCCTGCATTCGATCGAGGGTCATTTGGTTAGTAGAGCGAGTCGATCGACGGGGTGTAATATCGGTAAGTACGTCAGATGTAACATTGGATGAGTCAGACAAGCTATCAGGGGGATCTTGTTGTGATACCTCAAGAGGGTATAGTTTCTGCAGTGGTCTCCTGAGCCTTTTATTTCCAATCCTTACAATAGCTCCTCTTATTTTTCCATCACTGCCAACAATCAATTCCATTATTCTAGAGAGTTTCCAAAATCCCCGTGGCTTGTCCTCATCATGCACTAGTACAATGTCTCCAACAGTAGGAATACTACTGTTTCTACTTCCCTTACTATATCTGTGTGCTTCCCTCAGCTCAAGCAAGTATTCATTTGTCCATCTCCTCCAAAATCGCTCGAGGGTTGAATTGAGATGTTTCATTCGCTTAGTAAGAGCTGAGGAGGTAATATCGATGTCTTCTGACTCTTCACCATAGCAGAATGAGTCTGGAAGACTGAGTGATCTACGACCAAGTAGAAAATGAGCTGGGGTGAGAGGCTCTTCTAGATCTTCTGTTGATACGAATGACAGTGGTCTGGAGTTTAATACTCCCTCAACTTCCGTGATAACAGTAGATAATTCATCAAAGGTCAGTTTAGATTTCCCAACTGTCTTTCTTAAACAACGTTTCATTGAGCCCACCAACCTTTCAAACATGCCTCCCCACCAAGGGGCCTTCTCTAAATTGAATTGCCATTCTATCCTGACTCCTGAGAGGTAATGTTGAGTAGCAGGGTGTTTAAAGATGGCAATAAGAGTCTTAGCTGAGGACTTAAAGGTTTTACTGTTATCAGATACAATCAAGGATGGAAGTCCTCTTCGAGAGGTGAACCTTTTCAATGCTCTAATAAATGCTTGAGCAGTCATATCCCAAACTAGCTCTAAGTGCACAGCTCTCACAATGCAGCAAGTGAACAAACAGACCCAGACCTTCTGAGATGATTTATGGTTCCTTATATATAATGGGCCTGCGTAATCCACACCAGTATAAGTGAAAGGCGGTTTTTCTGTCACTCTAAACTCT